TTCTATTTATCCTACATTAAAAAAGAAACATGTTTTACGAAAACGAAGGATGATTCTCAAAATTCACATTTATCCGTACGTTTTTGTAAAATTTTATTAATATCTAACATATACTATAGAGTATTAAGTATATGTTGACAATACGTTTTTCGATTTGATCTATGAATAAGAAAACACCCTGAACACAATTACATAAAACCTTTAAAAATTTGTATAGTAATTATGTTCTTGATGTCCTCATCAATTTATTATGACTTTATGACTTTTTGAACAACAGAAAAACAATCTTCTAATCCCCGTTTTGTAATTTTAATACGAAGACACTGGTAACCCTGGATAGAAGTCAATACATTTTTAACAGATAAAAAATAAACAGGCTTGTATTATTAGAAGATCGTTTTAATTATTTATTAATGACATGATTACGATGACTGTGTTTCGGTTTATTGTTTGGCCAATGATTCTGCCTTTGCTACTACTTCTTCAATAGGTCCGACCATATAAAAAGCGACTTCTGGAAGATGATCGTATTCTCCACCTAAGATCTTCTGGAAACCTTTAATGGTTTCTTCCAACGGTACTAATTTACCGGCATGGCCAGTGAATACTTCGGCAACCTAAATATTAAATTGTTAACAATAGTTATGCAATGAAACAAAAGCAAATATATATTATTGATAAAATATAAACTTAAGATGTATGTACCTGGAATGGTTGAGACAAGAACCTCTGGATTTTTCGGGCACGGGCTACGGTAAGTTTGTCTTCTTCAGACAATTCGTCCATACCCAAAATTGCAATAATATCTTGAAGTGATTTGTAATCCTGCAAGATTTTCTGTACACCACGAGCAACGTTGTAATGCTCAGGACCGATGATATTCGGGTCCATAATACGAGAAGTGGAGTCAAGAGGATCGACAGCGGGATAGATACCTAATGTCATTCAACGATAGGTGTTAGTAATCTTCTAAATTTCATTAGAAACTCGTAAAACCAAGTAATTTAATTACCAAGTTCAGCGATAGCTCGGGACAATACAGTAGTGGCGTCCAAGTGAGCAAATGTGGTGGCAGGAGCAGGATCAGTCAAGTCATCGGCAGGTACATAAATAGCCTGTACAGAAGTGATAGATCCTTTCGTGGTGGTCGTAATACGTTCCTGCATGCTACCCATATCAGTTGCCAAGGTTGGTTGATAACCGACAGCAGATGGAATACGACCCAGCAAGGCTGATACCTTAAAAGCAAATGGTTGTTAATAAAGTTTTGAATTTTATAACAAGTATAGTAAAATATAGTATGGTGTTCACTCTTACTTCTGAACCAGCCTGCGTGAACCTGAAGATGTTATCAATGAAAAGTAATACATCTTGTCCCTCCTGATCACGGAAATATTCAGCAACGGTCAAACCAGTTAAGGCGACACGAGCACGAGCGCCTGGTGGTTCGTTCATCTGACCATATACCAGCGCTACCTTGGAGGTCTTATCTTTCAAGGAGATGACACCAGATTCAATCATTTCATGGTACAAGTCGTTACCCTCACGCGTTCTTTCACCCACACCGGCAAATACGGAGTAACCACCATGAGCCTTGGCTACGTTGTTGATGAGCTCCATAATCAATACAGTTTTACCGACACCGGCACCACCGAACAAGCCTGATATAAATTAAATAAAAATCAATAATATTATTTAAATAATAGTTTCAAGAGGATACAAACACACAAGTAGAAAATAAAATTTACCAATTTTTCCACCCTTGGCGTAAGGAGCAAGAAGATCGACAACCTTAATACCAGTTACCAAAATTTCCTGCTCAACGGACATCTCTACGAATTCAGGAGCATCCGCATGGATGGGAGCAAGCTTGTCGGTAGGAATGGGCCCACGTTCGTCAATTGGTTCACCAATGACATTGATGATACGACCCAAAGTCTCAGCACCAACAGGAATACGAATGGGATATCCAGAATCCAAAACAGATTGGCCTCGAACAAGACCCTCAGTACCTGCATAATTGTATTATATTGTAAAAGGCTATAAATATAACAATCATAATATATTATATGAATGTTAGAGGAAAAAAATTACCATCCATGGCAATGGTACGGACTGTGTTCTCTCCCAAATGCTGAGCAACTTCAAGGACCAACCTGGGGCTACGATTTTGAACCTCCAAAGCATTGAGAATTGGTGGAAGGGCATCGTCGAATTGTACATCAACAACAGCACCGATGACAGCAACAATTTTTCCTTGGGCACCACCCTTGCTGTTTGCCGCTTTTGCATAATCTCTACCTAATTGTAAATAAACATTCTATTCACACATTTGTCTCTACGTATAATAAGTAGATCACAGCTTTCCAAACTTCAAAATTTTGTGTGCAATGTTTAATTATATTTTTAGAAATTACAGACACTGAGACTTACAGGATTTACAAATGTAATAATTATTATAATAAATTCAACAAAATATTAGATAATACTTACTACAGGTAAGTTACATAATACAAATTACATGTGTATACTTCAATGAAAATTTAACAGATTTATGTTCTAAATCCTACAAACATTTTTAATTACCTTAATAGTGCACAAAATGATATATCAATTGAAAATTCAGACTGGTTTAGTGTCTCGTAGACGATAGTAAGGATGATCGATTGTCCACGAAACATGACTGATGGTACCAATAAATTTAAGAAAATCAACCATTTCTTGGATCCTGATTTTCAAGAGAGGATAGGGTATTTAAATAAAATTTAATGTTAGTTGAAATATCATCATTCAGTTACGAAGGGTAAGTCATTTCGATGCAGTCAAAAATTAGTCGAAGTGACCTTAATGCCGCCATGTTGGCACAGTGGTATCACCACTGCGGTACGATCAAATAATACCGATTATATAATCAATACAATACTTTTCTTCGTCGATATTTGTATGTCAGTCGAGAAAAAAAGAAGATAAATGTCACAGTCGATACGGATTGTCAGAATAAGGTGCTGAAATTACAGAGGATGTTAACAATCATACTGTAACACACATCGACTGCAATACGATGATGAACAGTGTGGTCTATGTTACAATCAGAGCTGGGACAATGCAAAAATATGTTTGTGAAAATGATTATTAAATTACTCACTGTTTACGGAGAGAGCTCCGGATATTTTTGCGACTTCATTTTGAAGAAGGGTGGGTTTGACGGCCCTAAGGGCTCCAGTCGCTGCCTTCGATACAGCACTCAACATCTTGGCCGGTCAAGTGAAGAAAGGCGACCGGAATGATTTCCGATTCGTATGAACTGTACCCTACGCTGTCTGCGCGTGCGCTTTATACGATTTTCACGTCGCGCAATTATACTACGCATACTTGTATTGGATCGTTGCGCACAACCGTAAGCCGTATCCTTATGGAATAGGTTTTGGTTTTTGTATTATATATTTAAAATCAAATACAATAATGTCAAATAGCATTTTAATTTTTTTCCTATTTAAAAGCGTTACTTAAAACTAAATTAAATATTTGTTTTATTTTAACATCCGTAATTTCAAGTAATATGATATGAACAGTTCTACTTGCGCTGTAACTTTTACGAGCAACATTTTTATTCAATGAAAAAAATGAAAATGTTCTCTATTTCATTAAATAATAAACTACTTAAAGCGTAATACATCATCGATTATTTCAACCTTCCAATTACGAATTCCCCTTCAATTATGTAACTACACGTGTAAAAGTTCTGACCTAACCTACGGTTATGCATTAAGCGTTGATGGAGCTCTAAAAGACACCGGGCATTTAATTTTCTTTTGCTTAAATACTGAAACATTTTTAAACGAATACATTAAAATGGTTGAGGAACAGAGGAGACGAGTTGAAGAGAATATGAATAAAATGGTGGAACAGATTGACAAGTCTTATATTAGGAAAATGCAGGTATATTAGTTCACTAGAGAATATTTTCAGGTTATTTCACAACTCACGTTTAGTCAGCAGTGGTATAAGATAAAATTATAGAAAAACTAATTTCAGGGAGATATGCATAGGTGTGCTGCAATCTGCTGTGACAATGAAACTTACAGTATACAAAAAGTACACAACTGTGTAGAAAATTGTAGTAGCTCTTTAAACAAAGCTCAACAGTACATTCAAGGGGAATTCGAAAGAGCTCAGGTATATTATTATCCCATGGAAATAAAAACAGATATTAATCAGAAACTAAAGTAATGTATAAAAAATATTTTCCAGAGTCGATTACAAAGATGCGTCATGGATTGCAATGATAAAATAAAGGATCAAATGGGACCGAATCCCACACAGAATGAAGTGGACAGATACAGTGATCAATTTGAAAAGTGTGCCACAAAATGTGTAGATAACTATTTAGACATGTTGCCTGCATTAGAAAAATCTATGAAGAAAGTGTTAGCTAGTAAAAAGTTTGAACAATAATAAAGATAACAAAAATAGTAAATCATTACTTGAAGCTACCAGACCACCAAGGAATGATTTATAAGATTCTACTTAAAAGAAAATAACGTTTGCATATTAATTAATAGACTGTGGATCTGACGCATTCAAAGCATATAGTAGAGTATGCACACACAACCACAGCTTATTAATTACAAATGAAGGTAATCGGTTAGATTACAAATTACATAGAATTTTGTATTCACATCAGTTGCTAATACATTGTACCTTGACACAACAGTTATTACTATTAAATTGATTTTAATTACTTGTAGCATACGTTATTATAATTGTCGCAAACAAGGAGAAGGCACGTTGTAACAAATTCCATGATCATAGTATTTATTAACTAGTACACTTGTTGATTGCAGTGGTACATTTTCGTTTTCCTGTTTTTATTATTTTCTCTCTCTCGTTCTCTCTCTCTCGCTCGCTCGCTCGCTCGCTCGCTCAACGTAATAACAAATTCACCGTTGCAATTAATATCATTTTTTTATTGTTACAATAGACATTACGCTTATTGCACACTTTTTTTCATGATATAAAACCTTCCCACCACTCTCGCTCGATACAAAATAATCGGTCAAAATATGTCGCGGTAAATTCGTGATCTAAACCTGTAGAAATCTGCAAATAAATTGTTTAAATAATAATAATTTAAATATAAATATCAACGCAATAATAGTTCACTTGTATCTTCGTGTGTACGAGTTTCTTCTATGAAAGGTGACATTGGGCTTTATATTTGTCTTTAATCATTCCTCT